ACAATTGGGTAGGTGGTGGAGCCATTCATCAAGATAGGGAGCACAGGAAAAAGTGGTCTAGGGATGGGGCGATCAAGCTGGAGAAGAATGCATTTACCTTTCAAGTCTGAGGTGTCTGCTGGGCATCCAGTCAGAGATATTAACAGGCAATTGGATGTACAGAACTAGAGCTCAGGAAAACCATTTGCAAAAGAGAAGTAGATTTGAGGGCATCAAGATGTATGTGATAATGGAAGCCACTTTAACCGGGAGATGGCTATATTCATATGTACTTGGGAAGCACTTGGGAAGAAGTTATTTTATTTAACTTTATTTTTTTCAATTTTTTAAATAGAAGTCATAATGATTTATAGCATTCTGTAACTTCATGTGTACATTATTACTTATTAGTTTCTCTATAGACTGCATTGAGCTCACCACCAGTAGTCTAATTTTTATCCATCACCATATATATGTGCCTCTTTCACCCACCTCCCAACCCCCTTCCCCACTGGCAACCACTAATCTGTTCTCTTCATCCATTTGTTTAGCTCCTACATATGAGTGAAATCATGCAGTTTTTGGCTTATTTTGCTTAACATAATACTCAAGGTCTACCCATGTTGTTGGAAATGGGACCATTTTGTCTTTTTTTAATGGCTGAGTAGTATTCCATTGTACATATATACCACATCTTCTTTATCCATTCATCAGGTAATGAGCACTTGGATTGCTTCCACGACTTGGCAATTGTGAATAATGCTGTGATGAACATAGGAGTGCATAAGTCTCTTCGTACTGTTGATTTCATGAACTTTGGGTAAATACCCAGTAGCGTGATAGCTGGATCATATGGTATTTCAATTTGTAATTTTTTGAGAAATGTCCATACTGTTTTCCATAGTGGCTGCACCAGTTTGCATTCCCAACAGCAGTGTAGGAGAGTTCTCTTTTCTCCACATCCTCTCCCTCATTTCTTATTTTGTCTTGTTAACTATAGCCATTCTAACAGGTATGAGGTGATATCTCACTGTAGTTTCGATTTGCATTTCCTAATATTAGTTACATTGAACATCTTTTCATGTGCCTGTTGGCCATCTGTAAATCTTCTCTGGAAAAATGTGTGTCCATATGCTTTGCCCATTTTTTGATGGGGTTGTCTGTTTTTTTGTTGTTGAGTTGTATATGTTCTTTATATATTTTGGAAATTAACCCTTTGTCAGATGTATGATTTGCAAATATTTTCTCCCAGTTGGTGGGTTATCTTTTCATTTGTTCATGATTTTCTTTGTCTTGCAGGAGCTTTTTAGTCTGATGTAGTCCCATTAATTTTTTCTTTTGTTTCCCTTGCCTGAGTAGACATGGTATTCAGAGATGCTGCTAAGACCAATGTCAAAGAGGGTACTGCCTATATTTTCTTCTATTAGTTTAATGGTTTCAGGTCTTACATTCAAGTCTTTAATCCATTTTGAGTTAATTTTTGTGTATGGGATAAGATAATGATCTCCTTTCATTCTTTTGCACGTGGCTGTCCAGTTTTCCCAATACCATTTATTGAAGATACTTTGCTTTTTCCGTTGTATGTTCTTGGCTCCTTTGTTGATTAGCTGTCCAGAGATGAGTGGGTTTAGTTCTAGGCTTTCAGTTCTGTTCCATTGATCTATGTGTCTGTTTTTGTGCTGGTACCATGCTGTTTTGATTACTATAGCTATGTAGCATATTTTGAAGTCAGGGCTTGCCTCCAGCTTTGTTCTTTTTTCTTGGAATTGCTTTGGCTATTCGGGGTCTTCTGTTCCATGTAAATTTTAGTATTCTTCGTTCTATTTCTATGAAGAATGTCACTGGGATTCTGATTGAGATTGCATTGAATCTCTAGATTGTTTTAGGTAATATGGACATTCTAACTATGTTTATTCTTCCAATCCATGAACATGGACTATCTTTCCATTTCTGTATGTCTTCTTCGATTTCTTTCAATAATCTCTTACAATTTTCAGTGTATAAGTGTTTCATCTCCTTGGTTAAATTTATTGCTAGGTATTTTATTCTTTTTGTTGTGATTGTACATGGGATTGTATTCTTGACTTCTCTTTCTGCTAGTTCACTACCAGTGTTTAGAAATGCAACTGATTTTTGTAGATTTTGTAGATTTTCTACCCTGAAACTTTGCTGTAGTTGTTGATGATTTCTAATAGCTTTGTGGTGGATTCTTTAGGGTATTCTCTATATAGATTCATGCTATCCTGGAGGGAGCATATTGTTGGGTCTTGTTTTTTAATCCCTCCAGCCCCTCTGTGTATTTGATTGGCGAATTTTATCCATTTACATTTAGAGTGATTATTGATATATGAGGGCTTAATACTGCCATTTTGTCTCTTTTTTTCCAGGTCTTCTGTGTTTCCACGTTTTTTTCCCCCTTGTATTTCTGACTGCCATTACAGTTTGGTGGTTTTCTGTGATGGTTTTTTTCTTTATGATTTGTAGTTCTGCTCTGATTTTTTGTTTAGTGGTTACTATGAGGTTTGCCTAAAAGATCTCATAGATGAGATAGTCCATTTTCAGATAGCCTCTTATCTCCACTAGCCTAAGCAGCTTCCATCGCTTTCCTCTTCCCTCTCTGAGTTATTACTGTCACAAATTATTCTTTTGTGTGTTGTGAATTTGTAACTAAACTGAAGTGATTATAATTACTTTTTATGCTTTACTTCCCTTTAGCTTTTATATTTGCTTGCTAACCTGTCCTGATAGAGACATGAAATTTTCTGATTTGTCCTATTTATCTCCTTGTTCATAGCTTTGTAAACCTTTGCCTTGCTGTTACAGGTGGGAGGGCTTCATTCATCATTTCTTGCAAGGGAGGTCTAGTGGCAATGACCTCCCTCACCTTTGTTTATCTGAGAAAGCTTTTATTTCTCCATCATATCTGAAGGAATGCATTCACTGGATAGAGTATTCCTGGCTGAAAGCTTCTGTCTTTCAGAATTTTGAATATATCATTCCACTCTCTCCTAGTCTGTAAGGTTTCTGCTGAGAAATCCACTGAAAGCCTGATAGGGGTTCCTTTGTAGGTTATTTTCTTCTGTCTTGCTGCCAGTAATATTTCTTCTTTGTCATTGACTTTTGCCAGTTTTAGTATTACATGCCTTGGAGAAGATCTATTAACATTGATCTAATTAGGAGTTCTATTGGCTTCACGCACTTGTAAGTCCAGTTACTTGCCCAGGTTTGGCAAGTTCTCATCTGTTATTTCTTTGAAGAAGTTCTCTGCTCCTTTTTCCCTCCCTTCTCCCTCTGAAATACTTATGATCCTTATATTGCTTTTCTTAATTGAGTCAGATATCTCTCAAAGAATTTCTTCATTTTCTGTTCAATCTTAGTTCTCTTTCCTCCTCTACCTGAAGCTTTTTCCTGTCTTCTATATCATCAGCTCTATTCTTTATGTTTTCTAGATTATTTCTTATCTCAATTGTTTTCTTCATATCCAGAACTTGTTTGGTTTTCTTTTAGTTTCACTCTCTTTAATGAAGTATTACTTCTGCTCATTAGTTTTATTCCTGAGCTCATTGAACTTTCTGAGTTTTCTTGTAACTCATTGAATTTCTTTATGACAACTGTTTTGAATTCTCTATCACTTAGATTGTAAACTTCTCTGACTTCAGGATTGGTTTCTAGAGATTTGTCACTTTCTTTCTGCTCTGAAGTATTATTGTAGCTCCTCATGGCGTTCAATGAATTCATCCTTTGCAAGTGCACCTGTGGTATTATCTGGTCACAAATGCCACCTGCCACCACTGCAGGGGAGCAAGACCTGTGTTTTCTGATTCCGCTCCATCTGCTGGAAGTTGAGCTGGTAGGGCTGCTCCACGTTTGTACAGGCTGGCCACAGATGTTCTGTAGGCTGAGCTCACCTGGGCCAGTCCTCTATGCTGAGTAGGTGGGTCACAAACCGGGGGCAGGTCACTCTTGTGCAGGCAGGGCTGCTGTGCTCAGCTGGGGATGGGCTGAGCTGCTGTGCTAGGCAGGAGAGGTGCCTACTCAGAGGCTGAGCCACTACTCGGTGGGTCTCACAGCCTGCTGTGCTCCGAGGGTAGGATGCCTTCTCATATGTGCTGCACTCAGCAGGCAGGTGCCTTTGTGGGGGCTCAGCTGCCACTGGGTGGGCCCTGCCGTCTGCTGTGCTCCATGGGTGGGGTGCTTTCTCACTTGCACTGTGCTCAGTGGGCAGGCGCCTGTGTGGCAGCTGGGCCGCCACTTGGTTGGTCCCACGGGCTGCTGTGCTCCATGGGCTGGGCACCTTCTGAGTGGGTGGAGTGACTTCTCACCTGCACTGTGCTCAAGGGGTGAGTGCCTGCATGGGGGCTGAGCTGCCACCACTTGGTGTAGAGGCTTCCCACTGGCGGGGCTACCACAGCATGATGGGCACTCCCGCGGGCCTGGCTACAACTCTGAAAGCATTTGCATAGCCCTGGCTGCCCTTGCCTCCACTTACAGTCATGATGGCCATAGTGTGAGCATCCACAACCCGGCTTGCTGATACGGGGGCTGGAGAGGGGTGCACTCACCTAGTTCCACTGCCTCCCAGGGATCCACTCCACCCACCTTCAGATGCACAGCTGCGTGGATCTCTCGGACGTCCTATTGTGCTGTGTAGGGAATCCTCTGCTGGTTAATGAACGTCCATTTAGTTGTAACTTAGAGGGGAGAAAGGGAACAAGTCACACTGCCACGATGCTGACGTCACCTCTCAAAAAGTCAAATATTAATTTAAGAAATATCTGGCACACTATATGTATATACATAGTTCCTTAAATAGTGTACCTTTAAGACTCAGTATTAAACACCCAGCTTTTCTCAAGTTGTTGCAAACTCAAATATCATTCTGACTATGTAGTCATTAGCGATCTTCTTTTGTAACAAAATAAGTTGGAACTCAAACAGAACTCCTCTTAGTATTACCATCTTAAATTTGGCTTCATTATCAGAAACAGTGTGTTTTCAAGACCTGGATCTTTCTAAGTCCATTTTTATTTTTAAAAAAACTTTATTTGATTATATTCATTGTATAAAAATGTGAAGAGACAGAAAAATATAAATAAAATTGAAATTTCCCAGTATCCCTCTCCCACATACAGTAACAAAAGATTACATATATCTTTCCAATCTTTTGGTACATTTAGGTACAGAATTTTAAAACAAAATCAGTAAAGTGCTTATATATGTTTTTTCATTTCATATTATAGAGTCACCACTTCTTTAGAACATCAAATATTATGTGAAAACATGACCTCTAGTTGGCTATTTCACAATCTAGTGTTAAATTATAATTTACCTCCAATTTTTGGATTTTCAGATTGTTTTGAATATTTGTTATTATAACTAACACTCTATTGGACATACTTCTTTATACCTAATTCTTTGTATGTATCTCCAATAATGTTTTAAAGATAAATTCCTAGGAGTAACCAGCACAAAGGGTGTATTTTTTAAGCCTTTTGATACATTTTACCAAAGTGCCCTCCAAAAAGATTGTATCAATTTACAGTCACACCAATAAATGACCTAAGAGTCCCATTTCTTCTTCTTATTCCTTGCCAACATAGGAAATTAGATGCCACCTCCCACCATTTATTGTTACAAATTTAATGGGGGAGGGTGAATGATATCTTCTTGTCTTTTTTCTAAAGTGTAAGAATTTTCTAGACACTTGCTGGTCATCTGCTTTCCTTCTGTTTTCTGAAGCAGTCCATGGCTGATAAAAGCCATCTCTGACTCGTGCAATGTCTTCTATGTTCCTCCTTAGCGTGCAAGGGCATTAAAGCTGCATGTCTTTTCCATGTTTTTTAAAGTTAGGCAGGAATTCAATAAATGTGTAGAATGAGAAAGTCTTCTTCTCTTCTGGGCAGCCACACTGTTTTAATCTTTTGGTAATAAAACAGAAAACCGGGCCATATCCTGAAAGGAAGAAAGCAGGCACAGATTACGATCAGCCAAGAACTTACCACAGGCAGTGGGTTTACAGATGTGTGAGCATGATAATCACCTGGAGTGCTTGTTAAAAACCAGATTTTTATTTTATGGAGTGAGGTCTCAGGGGACATACACTTTTAACACACTCTCCAGAATATTCTCACATTCACCAAAGTTTGAAAATCATTAACCAGATGTGGGACATCCGGCGTCGCTCCGAACTCTTGGTCCCTCACTCTCCTTTCCTGTAAAGTGACGTCCATCACACTTATCTAGAGGACTGTTCTGATTCTCACTTATCTCCGTCCCCTTTCACATCCACCAGGACACAACCCTCGGTCTGGATTATCGTTTATGGGACCCCCATCTTTCATCTTATCCTGCTGAATAAAAGTCCACTGAAATTTTAATATGTAGTATGTCCAAAAAGAGTAGGGTCTTCTTCATCACTGCAAGTCTCATGTGTCTTTGCAAACCACAGCTGGACTTACAGGGGGTGCTCACTGAGTGTTTCTGGAATGAATTAGTGAGTGAATGAATGATATACATTTCAGTGCTGGGAGGACTGGAAACACGATCCCAGAATAAGGGGATTGGGGGTTCCTTCACGCTGTAGAATGGAGGCCACAATTCTCAACTGTGTCTAGAGCAGCAATTCTTCATTTCCTCTCTTTAGGTCACACATCCCACTTGGAGAATCTGATGAAAACTACACATACTAACGCTTTCTAAAAACGCAGACATCCAAAACCACACAATTTTACACACACTTTCAGAAGCTTCCTAGAAGGAAAAGAGAACACTGATTTCTACCTTCCAAGCATTTTTACTTAAAAATGAAGCTGAAGTAAGAAATTATTGCTTGAGAAATTATCTTCAAGACTCTAGGGTCAAAAAGGGGTTAGTCAGGAAAGTTAAATGAAGGAAAAAAAGCCCCCACCACATCTTGCAGGTAACATTAGCCCCAGGAACACAAAGTATGAATCACACTTCCCGCCAATCAATAGTGTGCTCATTTAGACAAGCTGAAGTCAGGCTGCTCTATTGCATTTTATGCATCTGAATGGAACTGTTGCTAGTTCAAACTGACATTCTCCAATTCTTAGAATTTATATTCTGTTTCCCTTTTCTTCATAATTCTAAGGGCTTCCTGCACTTCAGTTATGATGGCACATGTCTTGGGAGGAAGGAGCTGTCATTTATTCATTAATGAACATTTATCTCCTAGGTATACAGGTTGAAACTAAAAGTCGTATTTCCTGCTCCTTAGGGACTTGAAGTCTACTAGGGAAGACAGATTACAAATTCCAGTATCCCTGACTTTGCAGTCCTAAAGGCTGAGAGGCACCCTAGTTACACTGGTGCGCGTGAGCCTGCCTGTACCAGCTTGCAAGAAATGACTGTGTGTATCACTTCCCAGCTTATCAGGGGCTTCATACTGATAGTTTGAAATCAGCTGTGCTGGAGAATTTATACCATGTAAATCAGGAAACACTATAAATCATGGCGCCTCCACACCCATCAGCTGTCAATCATTTACTACCCTATCATGTCATCACACTAAAACTGTCACTCTCAGTGCAGGGCTCCTCAGTGGTAATTCAGCAGTGTAGGAAGGGCTTACATCAACCTCTCAAGTCCTCTCTCAACTACTGCCATGAGACCCAAGAGCACAGGCGTGTTCTAGGAGACCTCAGGATATGCAGGCTACCCTCTCTGGATACCAGGTCAATGTGATATCTGACCAATGTGAGGCAACTCCTTATCTAATGTGCTTGATCAGAGAGTTATAAAATGTCCAAATAAAAATCATGCATCTCTGAGCTTGTCAGTCAGTTTAAATTATAGTCTGGGAATTAATACAGTCATGCTTCGCTTAACCATGGGGCTATGTTCTGAGAACTGTGGTGTTAGTGATTTCGTTGTGTGAACAACCTACAGTGCACTTACACAAACCTAGATAGTACAGCCTACCACACACCCAGGCTATATGGTACTAATCTTATGGGACCGCGGTCACATATGCAGTCCATTGTTGATCAAAATGTCATTATGCAGCACACGACTACACTGGAGCTGAAAAGCTACCAATATGCAACCCATCTGACGTTCACCATGAATTACTGTCTTCACGTGATGCAACATTAACCGTAAGCAGACAGCCCCCAGCACCATTTTGGTATTGCTATGTCAGTGTCTCAGCTTTAAAGGCTGCCGACACTTTGCATGGATCTGCCAAAGAGAAAACAGCTTTGTCAGCAATGTAAGGTTCGGGCAGAGCAGGCACTATGAATCTTCGGAAGACTTAGAGACACACTGCAGAACGGGACAGTGCCAACAACCTGGCAGACTAGATAAGAAAACGCTCCCCACCTCACCTTCCAATGGTCTTGCATTACGAGGCAGAATATATGACTACTCAGTTTCACAAATGGTTAGGATGGTATACTATAAATGACATGAAAATTTGTAGAAAACCTCTAGGCTGGTAGAAAATACATGAGTAGAGGGACCAAGGTTGAAGTGCAAATAAGAGGAAAAGGCAGCTGAGGGCCTATGGAAGCGTCTGCTTGCAGATGGCTGAGGATACTCACCTTCAGAGTACGAAGAGTCTCTGACCATTCCATGGACCCTATCTGGGGTATGGTACTGAGGAGTAAACTTGTGGCTTTATTGGCATTTTCTTTCAGGGTCTTTAAAATCCGGTCCACTGAAACCTAGAGAAACAACGGCACAGGATGTTGCCAGAAATTAAAAATTCCACTGCTGTTCATGGAATGTTTTCCTGAGCTCCTACCTGACCTGCGTGGTCAGTTTACCCCAGTTTCAATCTGGAGCCCTGCAAGCTGGGCATTTATCAAGATGGTCTTGGTCCCAGTGGGGAGGTCTTGGAGTAACTCAATGATATTTCTAAAAAGCACCGCTGGTTTTCAATATGGTGTCTGAGGAACTCCCTCAGATGTATAATGTGCGAGCATGCTCTGGAAAGCTGTGTCTATTCTCTCCATGTCCAGAGAATGAATTCCAGTCTTAAAACTGTTGCCAAACTGGATAACCAGTCAGAAGATCAGCACATTTCCCTTTAGAGAAGTCTTCCAATAAAGAAAGATGATGGAATCAATGGATCATCATTTTTCATGTTACAGCTCCCAATGAATCAATGAATGGATGGCTAAGATCACAAAACAAAAATAACTAAAACCAAATGAACAACTCATTTTAATGTGCTTCCTGATGGAAAAACAAATCACTACATATGACACCTGAGTGTGATCAAACCTGTAGATCCAGCTGCCAATTTACAGAAAACAACAGACGACAGAACAACCTGCTAACCTACCCTAAGGAGACGATTTCAGCAATTTAGACTGTGGGAAACTCTATGGGACAAAAAACCTGATTTCTTTTTGGATAACATCATTTATGATATTTGCAATAACTAGAAACTTGAACTTTGGCTATATTAAGGAATTATTGCTTGAATGTGATAACTATGATGCAGTTATGTTAGATATCTCCTGACATGTTAATGGATAAAATTATGGATGAGAGCGTAGATGAAATACAATTGACTGTAAGTTGATGTGATAATGGTTGACGCTGGATTCTGGATTCATGGTAGTTCATACTATTGCCTACTTTGTACATGACTAAAATTGCCTCACAAGGAAAAGCTGGAACCAGTTGTGATTATAAAATGGACAATGAGAGGTATAGAACTTGTCGCACTTCACTATGCTTAGAAAACCTCTAAGATTCAGGGTCACCATGAATGTAGTTTTCTCTCTATTTCCTGGAGTATAAGGTCCAGACACTTCTCACAAACACCAAAATGTGTTTAGAAAAAAATGATGAGCACCATAGCAGAGGGAAGGGCCCACTACTGTGGGAACACAAAGCAGTGACAACTTGGGTGCCTGCCAGCTACAGGTAAACACATGTCTTAAGTGGAGTCATTGAATGCAGTCATAAAGCATCCAAGACATCTACCCTACATTTACTCTTTTCCTGTGACTGATATTTCATAAAGAATCGGACCTCTCTTTCCTCTTCTTTGTTCCTGCTCCAGGGCTCCACCCAAAACGCCCTTTCTACTAACCTCCTCACATTCAAATCTAATCTAATCTAATCAAAAGGTTCAGCTCAAATCTCAAAAGTTTCCTTCTTCACAAACTTGTTTTTGATCTCCCCACCCCCAACTCCATCCTAGCTCCCATCTGAGGACCACCCTCCTAGGAGCAGCACTATTCCAGTTGCTCAGCATATATCATTTGGTTTAACTCTCCTAGTTACCCTGCAAGGTCAGAATTGCAACTAAACAATTCACACCCGTCACCCCCAAGCCCCGGCTCCATCCTAGAGAAGAGTAATGGGGTAAATAATGGGCCCAGTGTCCCAGGTAAATGGAACAATGGCAACATGAAGATGGGTTTAGCAACACAAAAACCTTCCCCCCACGCCAGGCTGCACATCTGGTTTGAAGCACAGTGACACACATGGCTGGCTGAGATGATGCCATCTTGGACTCTGCCTTCCTTGTGGCATTTAACAGTATTTACCTTCACGCCTTTCCACTTACACAGGGTTCAGTTTCTCTGCTTTTAACTGAAGTAGCTCTAACTGTATGCTTTCCAAACTCCCTGTGGCCAACTAAAGGGAAGCACTGTTAGCTCTGCAGAGGAGGAGACAAACGTCACCAGGCTGAGCAGAAAGCCAAGGCAGGAAGCAATCTGCTCTCACACTGGTTTGCATAACCTTTACCCCTCGCCCCTCCCCAAAACCAAAGCATTAGCCCCTTAGGGACTTGTCTGTTTGCTGTCGTGTTCCTACACCAAGGATGGTATCCAGTCAGGGTAAGTTAAACAGACAGGTATGAATATAGAGTCCTCTTACCAGGAAGACGTAATAGGTTTCTCCCTTTGAAAACAAACATAATAAACAGCAGCACAGCATAAGGAAATTATCACCAAAAGACCCTTTATCCTTAAAATAAGGCCCAAGTCTCAGTATGATCCCCAACATGCCTACAATGTACTGTTCATTGTTGACCCTTGGATAACAGTGTCTTTTTCTTCCCTATGAAGATCTTTGTTCTTAACTTCCAGTGGGAACTACAGAAAGTATGTGGCAACGTATGAAAAGCTGACTTTACAACCTGGTAGCAGGACACTTTCTGGAACTAGTGCGAGAGAGACAAATAGTTAAGACACTCTCTTAATGGCTCTCAAGGCACCTGGAAACCCAGGCCATACTCGTCCAGAAGAGAATTCCACCTACCTCTTCCTCATTCTCCTTCCAGCAATCATAATCTGTTGCCAAGGCGATGCTGGCATAGCAAATTCCAGCCTCCTTAGCAAGGACCGCCTCTGGAACTGTGGTCATGTTGATAACATCCGCCCCCCAGGCGCGGAACATGAAGCTTTCTGCCCGGGAGCTAAAACGAGGTCCCTCGATTGTGACCATTGTCCCTTTTGAGTGGCACCGGAGTCCTAGCTTCTTAGCATTCTCTATGAGGACCTAGAAAAGAAACAACCACAAACTCAAAACGTACAAACACAAGTAGAGCTTAGTATTTTATTCTTTCCCTGAGGTTTAATAAGTTAATTCCTTAGTTAACGTCTTTTACAGTGAGTGCCTAGGACCCGCAGGTCCTCAGAGAGAACCTGGGAAATCACAGAAGGGTGCTTCCTAGACGCTCAGCCACTTACTTAATCTTGTTCCCCAGCCCCTGCAGACAGCTCACGCACGGCTACAAGAGCAAACAGCGAGCTTTTTCTATCCACCAGGCATTTGTAGACATACTGGAATCTCAGTGACTTCTTAACAGCTTGAAGAGACTCAGCTGGGCTGTGAACGTGAGCTTGGATCTGAGCTCTTCACCTCCAAGGCTGAGCTCAGGGGCCACTGCTCACCCACATCTCCTCAGAGAGACGCGCTGAGAACTGCTTGCCAGCCCCTGAGAAATTACGCTCATTGCCCTTACAAAATCTGAAGACTTTTGTAAAAGCATTTCTTTGGTTAGAAAGTGATTTCTTCATAATCTCCTTTGTCTGCTGCCTCTCCAGGGACGTATGGTCAAAACAGAACGAGGCCACACTGATTTTTTTCTTTCCAGGGATAAACTTACCTTGGCATCCCTTTAGTGGCAAGGCCACACAGGGGCTTTAGAAAAATTATTTAAAAGTTTGATCACTTTTTCCAGTGTCTGATTAATATTGCACGTCTAACTTTCAGGTTATTAATTTCATTTTTTCTTAGCCTGTGCTTCAACACTCTTCTTTAATTAAAAAAAAATTAGTCTTTTAAACTTAACTGTTAACCTACTCAAGCACTGATGAAAATTCACTTAACCTTTGTATGACTTAGTTTTCTCATCTGTAAAAGGGGACTGATAATGTATAACTCAGACATATTGTGAAAATTAAATAAGCTAAGGAAGATACAGCACAGAACCGTGTTGGGCACAGCGTCAACACTATATAAATGCTAAACTGGTCTCCTAACAATTAACACCGGCAGCTTCTAAAATGTTTACCAAATAACTGGCAAAGGTTCCTGGGATACTACACATATAAAAAGGAGTGACTCAAAGTCAATCGAAGGCTGCAATCTAGGCCAAAGTCTTGCCTGCACATGTCTGAACCACATAAGCGAATTAACCTAGCTCCTTAAAAATAACTCATACTGTGCCATGGCATTGGGAGAAAGAATTTTAACAAGCGTCTTGGCAACTCCAAATTTAGAACCATGACAAGTCACAGACAATGAACAGCTGATGCTACATCAGGCTGATTTATCCTACAGATGCTGAAAATAAGATTATGCTTAGTCGCAACTTCTCCCCAAAGAGCACAGGTCATGCATTCAAGGGCCTAAACCACTCCTTCCTTCCCTGACCCCCGCCATTTTCTTTTTCAAAATTAAGATACAACCAGCTCAGCCCCGAATGTTTTAAAGACACTAGATGTCTTTAAAAATCCCGAATAACCAAGCTGCATGTCTCGGCCACACTTCCGAGTGCTTCCAGAGATGTGTGAGGGAAGATCCCAACTACCGCGTGCCACTGGCCTGCGGCACCTAAGTCCGCCCATCACCCTGGGAGGTGGGTACTATGATGGGGAGGAGGAGCAGGTGGAGGCTGTGGATGTGGACCAGCCACAGACAGACCCTGGGGCGGTGCCACCTGAACCAGTACCTTGCACCCCCATGAGAACCGCTAATGCCATCCCAAGGGACCAGAAATACAAACCACAGGCTGAGACGTCTCTGGGTCTGAGGCTAAGATGCTTTCACTTCCATGTCTTGAGTAATCATAATGGAACTTTTGAATGTATTGCCATCATCACAAATGCATATTAGCAATATTATATCACCAGGCTAAATATACTTAATGTACCAGAATTTTCAGACTTTGTTTCAGATGCTCTCCTAAAGTGACTAGAAGTGACACTGCTCTGGGAATACGTAACACTTGCACACAGCTCAACATAAACAGTACAAAAGGATATTATTCTGTGACAAGTATTTCTTTCACCTGTGTCCTGGCAACCCCGTTCACCTCTCCAAGGGAAACCACTGTTACCAGTTTTTTGGTCAACTTCCCAGAAAGACGTATTTACATGCAAATATGTCCATATTAATCTCTTTATATATACACATATTTAACACAAATGGTAGGTACGGTACAACCGCTGTGCATCTTGCTTGCCACCTGACAATTCAACTGACAGTCCTTCCTCATGAGTACATGAAGGATCACATGAACGGTGACAGTGAAAGTGATAATTACCAAGGGTTGCACCATTTACTCTTCAAATTTTTGGATAATATTTAAAAATCTCTTTTAGAGTACAGAAGAATAAAGGAATATTCTAGAGGCTTACTTTTCATATTTTCTTAAACCTCCTTCCCCAGCACTCTTTAGTTTTTACATGGGGGTCCTTGGCTTGGCTAGACTAATAATAGCTGAATTCATTCGGTCTCAAGGGAGGTCAAACTGTACTACTGGAATTCACATTTACATAGGCTCAGCATACAGCACGAGCACTCCCTCCGCCACCTCTACTCCTAGTGACACAGATCACTATTTTCTGCCTGAGACCAGATCTCAGATCTCATACTAACATGCATTTTCTCTCCCTAGTCCATTTCTTACCAAGCTGCCCCCATTTTGAAATGGACGAGAATTTTATATCCATCTGATTTCCCCTGGAGAGCAGATTTATTACGTGGACAGATCAGTGTTTCAGAGGGAAGGCCAGCAGCACATCCTGATGCGTTCTGCTGATAACCACCCAGAAACACATACATCTAAATACATACATTCACACAAACTGAACCTGCCTTTTTTTTTAAACAAGTAAAACATTTACTTTCACAGAAGTTAGAGAAGGTACACACAGTGGTCTACCTGAAACGGCCCCACAACCCCCGGCTTTGGATTCCAGATTTTTGTTGGAGACCAGAGTGAGGTGCCCTGCTGTGAACTAGAAGGAAACCAGTGGCACAGGATTACGCAGGCTAAACAGAAAAGCTAAACTAAACCTACTTTCCATAGGCAGGTGATAAGATTATCTGAATGAAGAACATGTTTAGGTATTTATATTCTCTAAGCTAATTTATAAAGCAGATTTGACCAGGCAGTTTTCCTCTGACAATATTTCTGATCTGTTGGGTCCCACCTGACTGATAATCTGGGATTATCAGACAAGCACCATTGTGGACCGAGTGACGGACGCTGAGTCGTGGTACCATTTTCATCCTCTGAGAGCTGAGGCTGCGCTTCCGCCCCTTCCACCACCACTGGCCTTTGTAGGGCCGCCCCTCTGTCTGAGCTTTTACTATAATCCCGGAGGGGAGGATGGACAGTAATGGCCGAACTCAGCTCAAAGCAAATGATGCCAATCTGACAATTTACAGATTATCAATAGTAATTTAATTTATAAAAGAAGTAAGCAGTCATTGGCTATCTCATAACTGACAGAAACTGTTCCAAGTATTTTGTAAGTATTAACTCTTTTCTCTCTCAGTCCTATAAGGTACATGTTATCATCACCCTCATTTTACAAATGAGGAAACTTAAGCTCAGAGGCATTAAGTAACTTATCCAATGACACACAGCTATTACGCTGAAGAGGAGAGATTTGACCCCAAGTAATCTAATTCCAGACTGGATACTCTTGACTAATATGCTATCATATAACAAATTATTTAGAAAGTATCCTGACAGGAAAATCTAAACTTATAAAAAAAGCAGGTTGCAACTTTGAGGGAGTTAGCTTACAAATGATTGATAGTAGCAGAGGCATTATTAGCAAAGGGAAACAGCTCTTCATTAAACCTTGCATGAGAAACAAATTTGAGGGGGAAAAGAGACCACATGCTGAGCCAATTCATCTAACTCTAGATGCCACCCCAAGTCCTTATGATTTATTGTGGTGCACCTTCCACAAAGTCTACGCACCTCTCTCGTTTTGGGGCAGAACGGGTCAGCCGCTGGAATATGGCACACTCCTCTGGCACAGGGGGAGCTTCCGTCATAGAAGGTCTGAGGTCTCTTGGTGGTCCTACAAAGCAAAGTGAAAGGTTTTTGGGTTTTCTTAAAGCCATCTCCCATCCTCTGGGGGCTGGTGAATCAACTGCATCCAGGCCAAGCTGTCGGTCCTCACTCCAGAATCAACAGCTCTGAACAAGTTGAAGACAACAGTAAGAAAAGCAGCTCCGAGATGGTATTCAGCTTGTCTGGCTCTGGGTCGATGGCTACATGCTTTCCAACGGGAATTAAAATGTCTGTGGTCTGGCGGCTGTGACACGATAACCACACTGGACTGTAGGGACAAATCATCTGCGGGCTCAGGAGGGCAGGTGACGCACTTCAGAAGTCAATAGGAAACTTTCAATCATCGCAGATGTAGAGGCTTGTACAGTGAACGCCATATATACCCATCACCTAGACTCAGCAATTTCCAAAAGTTTGTCAAACTTGCTTCATCTGTTAGATTTTCCAGGGTTGCAAAACCAAACATCGTCATTTTATCCCTACCTCAGATCCACCAAAATATGTGGATTATTTTCCACTGAAATGTCATTATCACATCTGATAGAAATAACATCAATTCCTCAGCATCACATAATACTAAGGCCATATGCAAATTTTCCTGATGGCCTCAAAAATGTCTTTTTCTAACAGTTGCATTGACAATTTCAGGTCATGTCTCTAAATTGAGAGTAATTCCTCCCCTCCACCCTGTCTTCTTTTTCATGCCTTTGACCCATTGAAGAAAGCAGCTGTTTGCCCTGCTCCACATTTGGGAATCTGTCTCTTTGCTGCCCTGTTTAGCTTGTTCCTCTCCCTGCCATACTTCGTTCTATAGTCTCTTAGTTCAGTTTCTTTGATAAAATATTTTCAAACCCACAAAAGAGAGGCTATAATTAACCCAGTGCCAAGTCACCCAGCAATTTCTCACCCGAAGTTTTCAGAATAGGCCACTTTCTACATCCATTACATTGTTCTAAACTTAAACTCATGAGTAACACAGGAAAAAGTCCTCCGTGCTCTGCAGGAATGAAAATCCAGTCCCTGTGCTTCCCAACCCTTGGGCTTACGTGTCTTTTTTTTTTTTTTTCATTAAAGACTGGCACCTGAGCTAACATCTGTTGCCAATCTTCCTTTTCTTTTCTTCATCTTCTTCTCCCCAAAGCCCCCCAGGACATGGTTGTACATTATAGTTGTAGGGCTTTCTGGCTCTGCCATTGGGACGCTGCCTCAGCATGGCTCGATGAGCAGTGCTAGGTCTGCGCCCAGGATCCGAATGGGGGAAACCCTGGGCCACGGAATCAAAGCGCACGAATTTAATTACTTGGCCGTGGGGCTGGCCTCTGTCACATGTATCCTAAGGGAAATGCTAAGTTAACCCCAAAGCAGTTCCAATGGGGTTAAGAACATTGGAATGACTGTTCCAGCCTGGATAAACAGGCTTTTCTCTTTTTGTAAAACTGACCAACCAAGTGCCACGTACTCCAGGCTCCGGCTCGCTTTCACCCTTCAATGAGTCAAGTATTAGCAACATCCCCGTTTACACCCATGTTTAAATATGAAACAGGGCCGCAGAAACCTCAAGCCGCTACATTCCAATAGGCTTTGATGTGATAACATCTCCATCTTATAAGTCAAATGTGGGAGTTCAGGTGAGAAACTACTTCTCTCAAGAGGGTAGAGATCAGAAATCTTAGGAATCAATCCAATCCCTCATTTAGCAGATGAGAGACTAAGCGACAAAGGAATTTGGGGGCAGAGACAGGAAGCCATTGTGGACGTCCTCACTTCCAAGCTGGGGCTTCCTCCGCTGCATTCCTCAAGCAGAACCTAACCCGGGCCTCAGGCACAACCGGCCAACGTGTCAACAGCATTTTGCAGAAAACGCTTGGCATTAGGATCTACACCTGCTTTCTTTATCTTAATTTTTTGGTCATATTTTTCTCATTGTAAAAATAACACAAAACCTTTATCTACAAAAAATTCCTGATAAAGGGAATTATTAAAAAGTAAGAATCTTATTCTTGTCCTTACAGATGATGTTAGCTAGCCTCACCTTGAGATATTTCTGATAGTGACAGAAGCAGTTTGAGAGCTCTTACTAGTCCCTACTATTTTTCTCTTGGTAAGGAAGCTTGGCCCTGAGCTACCATCTGTTGCAAATCTTCCTCTTTTTGCTTGAGGAAGATTATTGCTGAGCTAACATCTCTGCTAATCTTCCCCTGTTTCAGATGTGGGATGCCACCACAGCATGGCGTGATGAGTGGTGTGTAGGTCCACATCCGGGATCCAAACCTGGGGCCACCACAGCGGAGCATGCGAACTTAACCACTACGCCACTGGGCCGGCCCCCACATCATTTTTTTTAACTTAATATAATGTGGGCGTCTTCCCAAACAGGTCACAGATCTAGTTGTTCCTTTCAATACATGCATGATAAATATGGTGAATTGAATACCTTTCAATGATAATCATCAGGAATGATGTTGAAGAGGAGAAAGGTCACGTGTGGAAATGGCTGGAATCCCCTGCCCATGTGTGCCTTCCACGACATGGACAGTTAGTGGTTTGGGGTGAAAGAAATGCCATACAGTCAGTCCTCTCACACAGACAAATGACTCCCTACAAGTATCTGACAGTAACTGGGTTCAACAATGCAGGGTGTGTGCAAGGAAGGAAAACAGGAGTAGACAACAATGTGCCTCATGCTGTGAAAAAGCAGCTGGTGGGGAAACAGGCGTCTTGCTCCCGCTGCAAAATTCTCATCAGAAATCACTTGTACGCTCCACTGTGCACTGCATCACTAAGGTCAGGCTCTAAGAATGGGGTGGGTATCTGATGTGAGAGACGGTCACACCTTCCAGCTGCAAGGCTGAAAAGCAAAAACAAAACAGAAGCCAAGTGACTGCAATGTCCTGCTTCTAACTTTCCCAAGTCTTGCCTCAGAATTGGGTGAGGCTTCCCCGGGGCCCTCACCATGCCACAGGCAGGGATGTGCTTCCTCAGAGCCCTTTGTAGAAAGAAGAGTCACCACTGGGAGAGGAGGTAACAGCAACCACCCAGCACATAAGGAGACAGGCGGCTCTCCCAGCTGCTCCCTGGACGGCGGCAAATAGTCAGGCATGGAAGATCAGAAGGCACGAGATGGAAGCAGGTATACAACCCAAGAGAATAACAACCTAAAAGGCCTTACTGGATCTGAGAGCAGCTGAGCTTTCAGAATGCTGGCTCCGTTTCACGTGGCAAAGCTAAGGCTGGGGAGGGAAATCGACTTTGACTCCCTTATGAGGTCTTTCTTTCTCCCCCACTCACCATCTTGCTTCACTTCCCCACAGGTGACACTGTGAGTGCCAGGTGTACCCTGCACACACAAGGGTGTGTACCACGGGAGAAGAAACCCCAAGTTATGAATCTTGCAGTGTGTCCCTTATGAGATCCTTTTCAAGTATAAATAGCCCACAACAATAGGACAGACGAAAGGGCAGACAAATTCTTTCCCAAGCTCACATGGACCCTAGTAGAATGACTGTCAAGAAGTAGAACAAGTCCCATTCTTAACCACATTTCAACATCAGTTGCCAAATGCCTTGTGGCTCTGACAATGGGGACGTCCACCAAGGTAGAAGAAATGGATTAATTAAACCCAGTACAGCAGGAGGTGTACGGCACTGAAGAAACTCACTGTGGACGATCCTCCAGCACGTTCTTGATAGGAATTGTATTTTTAATTTCTGGTTTATGAACAACACCGCACATGGAGCCCAGGACCCAGGGCGAGGGAAGTCAAGAAACCTGTCACTGTGCAATGAGAAGGGGACAGTGACAAAAGCGGCACATGCTTTTGGTGTTCAAATTCTAGATCAAGATCCATTTTGCTTTCCACAGCTGCTCTAATCATAAATGAAAGAAGGTTATTTTCACTTTAAATATAAACCAAGGCATTTCCTTGCACATCTGAGAAACAGATGCCAGGACTGACTGCACACACCCACAAGTACCTGGAACCGCGCCCTCCCCACCTGTCTGCTGTCCCGCTCTCTCCAGGTCAGTCACACCCAGGATCCCCCTGTCCTCGGCCCGGCTTTCAACTTTTCACAGGACAGAAAGTGGCATGAAAGAAAAAAATGATTTTCAGAAGAGAATGATCTCATTCTCGTAAGAGACCTTTCCAGCCTGTCAGACTCCTTCAAGGGTATACTTCATTTTTAGAGTAGAAATCTAATGTTTTTTAAAACAATCATAAAAATCAGAGCCCTTGTCACTCTGAATCTTAACGACCTCTAAGGCATGCTCAGCATGGCTCACATACCCAGTTGGTGTCCTTTCCCTTGTGCTGGGCACCGAGGGTGGAGAAAGCGACAGGTTTTAGTTCTGCCATCTATTAAATAATAAGAGCCATATTTCATTCCGATTCTTTATCAAAGATTTCTGGCAGAGAGATTAGAACAATCCCTCTAGCATTTGAAGACCACTTTCGGACAAGGAATTTCTCCTAAGATGATGCTGGCAGTTACAGTGACAGGCAGATGTGTGTTTCTAGATCCGTGGCTGGAGAAGAATCCAGGAGTAGTGCAGAGAAGAGGGGGCAGAGATACACTGCAGTTCAACCCCTCATTCTGAAGAGGGGACCGAGGCCCACACAGGTCAAGGGACTTGCCCGAGGCCAAACAGACCCAGGACAAAACTTCCTGATCCAGTGCCCCTGCCCCGTGGCCGTAACCCCCTGGGCGGCTTGGCAGACCACTGCAATTCTATCAGACACGCTGCAGCCGTGGGGATGGCTGGGTCCTCAGGCTACAAACTGCACAGCCTCCGGAGCTCAGCATCCCGGGCCTGGTGAGGGCACCAAGTGCAGGGACCCGGCGCCCACTTCCACACACCGAGGCGCACTTTGTTCAAAAATGCACCATCAGTACACTGCATGTTGGGCACTGCTCAAAGGCCAAAAGCTGATTCTCCTCTCGCCTGAGCCATTCAACATACTCACGGTGAATCACGTACATGCCCAAGCCTGGTTAACTGCAAAACACGCGGCTCAACCAGTGGCAGTCTCATTTAGAAGACGCTGTCCAATGGCAATAGGACATGAGACACGTACGTAATTTTAAATTTTCTAGCGGCCCACATAAAAAAGCATGAGAACCAAGTAAAACTAGCTTTAATATCTCATCTAACCTAATACATCCAAAATGTTATCATTGCAATATGTAACCAACAGAAAATTTGAGATTACATTCTAAATGGTATTCCCTTAGGGATCCTCCTTTTACAGATCTTTTCTTCTGTTGTTACCAAATGATGTTAACCTCTGGACCCCTCTGCCCAACATGTCCATACTCACAACAACGGCACCCATTTATCAGGCAGGTAACATACGCTAGATCCCAGAAAGGCACTTGCTAGAGACACTGAACTCCCCACGCAAGACAAAGGAGGCAGCTTATCCACACAGCACATGAAAGAAAACAGAAGCCTCAGGATTTGAAGGTCACACAGCTACGAAGTGCCAAGACAGAATGAATTCCGATCTGAGGGCAACACCCGTGGTCCTTCTAGTCAACATCTTTCTGCCTCCACTGCTTTCTTGAAAGCGCCAGCGCGTGAACTGTCTTCATTTACTACACGTGAGAAAGATCCAGGAAATGCAACAGTGTATAGTTATACCACATAAGTAACGAATTAATCCCAGGCTTAGGACCCAATCAGATTTTCTTTCCAGCATCATCTATAATACTTTATAAATCCGGATCATTCTGAATGTGGAGTTCTGGACTCTGCTTTATTAAACAACCATATAGCAACCATTTTCTTAAGTCACTACCTCCAAACGCTCGCACTTTGACAGCCAGAGAGATTTTCAAGAACTCCAAGCTGTCTCTCCTTTGGAATGATCATATTCATTCAATCACTCAAAAAATAATGACTGAGTAACCAGAGGCTCTGGCACGGGTGTTAGGGTCAAAGTGGCGATCAGGACAGAGAAAGTCTTTGCCTCCACGTGGCTTATATTCTAGAGGGGAAGGTGGATAACATGTATATAGTGTCAAGGGCTAACAAATAATCGGAAAATGATAGGTGAGGGGTTGTGATGCTTTTGGTATACCCCATTATTTATTAGGTTGGACCACCTGAAACTGCTGATATTCAACTATTTCTTGACATACAGAATGGGCAACTTCATATGGTTCAACCAGAGTTTCATTTCATCAGACAACAATCAAGGATGCTTCTTGATTCTTATTTTATTCTGTGTATGTTAAAAACCCCCACAATAAGAAGCTTAAAGCAGATCTCTGGGTCTGCCCCCTCCCCCAGGTGCCCACACATCGCCCATCGGAGCTGGGGATGCTCTTCCAGGAGCCTCAAGCCTCTCAGATGACTGCTCACCTGTCGATGAACTGGTCGATAATGACGATGTCTCCGGGCCGAATCTCCTCCCTCAAGGAACCGCAGGCGGTGGTGACGATGACGTGTGTGCAGCCCTCCTCCTTCAGAGCCCAGATGTTCGCCCGGTAGTTGACTTCTGAGGGCATGATGCTATGCTGCCTCCCGTGCCTGTGGGAGGGACAGTAAATATGGTAGGGAGTGAGAGGGCATTTTAACACGGTTAGAGAAGAAAACTAACCTACAGCAGTGCCTTCCGGCCCTTCAGCCAAAGCACTTGCACTGGCAGAGGAAGAATGAGAAGGTCGGGCAATGACTAGCCCACTGTGAGTAGAAACTACTCGGTCTTAGGCGCACGCCAGCTGTACATTTTACGGATTTATTTTCCTGTCAAGAGTAGGTAATAACTTAATCAGAATTCACTCTCCAGGAAGATGTGCTGTGTCTGTCCTGGGGGGCACCAAACACCCCAGAATCTGGGGCATCTGGCCTCACACGAGCCAGGAAACAGAGCAAGACGTGCCAGTGAAGAAAGATGCAAAACAGAAACAGAAACTCAAGTTTCCAGCTGAATCTCTCCATTCCTTTCTGTCTGATCACCTAACTAAGTTAATGATTCATTTAAAACATTAGAGTCCCCAGTTGTTTATGATGACATTAGAAGGTTTTGTCGAAAAGCCGATCACCTCACGCGTGACCACTGTTATGGGCTGAACTGTGTCCCCCCAAACTGCTACGGTGAAGTCCTGAACCCCGGTGCATCAGAATGTGACTGCATTCAGAGACGGGGTCTTGAAAGAGGTAATTAAGTTAAAATGAGCTTATTAGGGTGGGCCCCACCCCAACACCAATGGTGTCTTCAGTAGAAGAGGAAATCTGGACACACACAGAGGGAAGGACACGTGGAGACACAGGGAGAAGATGGCCATCTGCGAGCCAAAGGGACAGGCCCGGAACACATCTTCGCTCCAGCCCTCAGAAGGATGCAGGCTGCTGACACCTTCGTCGTGGGCTTCCGGCCTCCAGAACTGTGAGGAAACAACTTCTTTCCACCCAGCCTGTGCTCCTTTGTAACGGCAGCTTCGGAAAAGCCAATGAAACCACCAACAATTCCTGTCACACTTCAAATAAAATCCAAACATCCTACACCCACGGCCCTCACGCCATGTGGGCACCAGTCTACTAACGCCACCTCGGCCAGTCTTTATCCCTTCCTGTCCCAACTCAGCTCACTGGCTTCTCGCTGCTCATCCGCGCTCATTCCTGCTCAGGCCTCCTCACGTCACAGCTCCAGTGTCACCTCCTCAGAGAAGCGCTTTCCATGACCACTGCGTCTAAGTCACACCACTATCCCATGACCTTGTTTTTCTTTCTAGCATCCATCAGCAACTGAAACTTTTCCTTTTCAGTGTCCGTCTTTCCCACTAGAATCAGCCCCGAGAGGGCGAAGCCCCTGTCTGTCTCCTTGCTGGTACCTCAAACAGGACCTGCCATGTGTAGCTCAATTTTCTGGACAAACAAATGTGTTTGGTGGCAATTCTTTGAGCACTTAAACATGCACACGTACACCCAGAGCATCAGTAAACAGCCAGTAAAGGGAACCCAATTTCTAAGATTATTTCTAAAATTCACACGTGTCAGATGGTTACTCACAAGCAGTATTTCACATGGAGAGTTAAAATTATTCTTGGCTGCTTCACAAACTACAAATATCACACATGCTGTTCTAGCACAGAAAGGCCACGTGTCAAGAGCCCAGCGTCCTTCACATGTGATAACACTGAGACAGGCTTTCAAGGAAGTAACTGAACACACAAAAATCTCACTGTGTACAATGATGATTAAAAACGTGGGCTTTGGAGTAACAGTGCCTGGGTTCAAACCCCAGCTCTGCCACCTACTAGCCGTGTGACCTCATCAAAGCCACTCAGCTCTCTTGGCTCAATTTTTTTTTCATCTGTAAAACGCATTATAAAAATACCTGCACCACAGGGTCATTATTAAATACCCCTTGTATCATCCCGTGGATGTGTTTTAAAAGAAACTTTAATGTTTTTTCTGGTCACTGACAACAGAATTATTAAAAACATTAACATAATTTGTACATAATTTCAGACAAGTGTAACGATCAGGGTTTTACCCCAAGTTCACAGATGTCCTCTCAAAAGCTGGAGGCCCAGGAACGTCCAGAAAGCACATGTATTTTTCTAAGTCTAGGCTCCAAAACTCAGATTAGATTTTGAAAACATTCAAGGATCAAAAGAACCACTGCGTTAAAGGCTCAAACAGTTCACGGGGCAACACGCTTCCGTCCAGTCGGCAGGAGTATCACACTCTCCTCATGGGGCCAGGGCCACCCCACCAACTGTTTCCTCATAGAGCCTGGAAAAAATTAAAGTGACTCTCCAGCAATGACCACAGACCAACAAAGAAGGCTGCCTGAAACCGACTCCATGTGACCATCTGAAACTAAAATTCACTTTTACGGCATTCAGCTGAGCTTTTTGTTTTTCTTGAGGTCATCCTGGCCTCTAACACTGTGTAAACTTCAGGTGTACATGATTATATATCAGTTTCTGGATAGACTGCATTGTGCTCACCAACAATAGCCCAATTTTTATCCATCACTATACATATCAGCCCCTTTATCCCTTTCTCTCTCCTCCCACTCCCTTCCCCTCTGGTAAGCACTAATCTATTCTCTTTTTCCATGTGTTTATCTTCCACATGAGTGAAATCATATGGTCTTTGTCTTTCTCTGTCTCGCTTATTTTGCTTAGCATAATACCCTCAAGGTCCATCCATGTGGTCACAAATGGCATGATTTTGTCTTTTTTATGGCCGAGTAGTATTCCATTGTATATATACACTACATCTTTATCCATTCATCAGTTGGCGGGGACTTGGGTTGTTTCCACATCTTGGCTATTGTGAATAATGCTGCAATGAACATGGCAGTGCATGAATCTCTCTGAATTGTTGATTTCGTGTTCTCTGGATAAATATCCAGTAGTGGGATGGCTGGATCACATGGTATTTCCATTTTTAATTTTTTGAGAAATCTCCATACTGTTTCCCATAGTCGCTGCAACAGTCTGCATTCCCACTAGCAGTGTGTAAGTGTTCCGTTCTCTCCACAACCTCTCCAACATTTGTTACTTCTTGTCAATTATAGCCATTCTGACGGGTGTAAGGTGAAACCTCCTCGTAGTTTTGATTTGCATTTCCCTAATAATTAGTGATGCTGAACATCTTTTCATGTGCTTGTTGGCCTTCTCTGGCTTTTCTTTGGAATAATGTCTGTTCATAGCCTCTGGCCATTTTTTATCGGGTTGTTTGTTTTTATGTTGTTGAGTTGTATGAGTTCTTTATATATTTTGAAAATCAATTCCTTGTCAGATAGATGATTTGCAAATATTTTCTCCTAGTTGGTGGGTTGTCTTGTAGTTTTGTTCATGGTGTCCTTTGACTTGCAGTATCAGTGAAGCCATTTCTGTTTCAAAAATGCAGTGTGGAAGAGAGACCCTAGGATGGTCCCCATTCTCATGGTCTGAAAAACTTCTTCCTTCTCGACTGCAGGGGACCCAAGACTCGCTTCCAACAAACAGAATACAGCAAATGCGATGGGAGTCCTCCCATAGTCAGGCTCCACCTGGCCAGCACACACTAGAGACTTCTTGCTGGTCTTGGAGAAGCAAGCTGTTGTCATGTGAACTGCCCACAGAGAGAGCCGCATGGCAGGGAATGTGGACCACCTCTGGGAGCTGAAGGCCTCAGTCCTACAACCCCAAGGAATTGAATTCTGCCATCGAAGGAGAAGCTGGAGCTCCAGTTGAGAACAAGCCCTTGAATGACCTTGTGTGACCCTGAACAGAAGACCTAGCTAAGCTGTGCTCACACTCCTGTTTGCCTAGAAACTGTGTGATAATGTGTGCTATTTTAAGCTGCTAAATTTGTGGTACTTTGTTATGCAGCAATAGAAAGCTAAAAGATGTAGTCTGATTAATTTCTAACTGTGTGATAAGAATAATTTGCCTCCTCTATAATATGGAACAGCACTAGCCTTGTCAAGAAAACAAGGGTGTGGACACCAGAGAATCCATTTCAGGGACCAGAAAGCCACTCTCTGAAAACTTAGAACTATTGCCACACAAGGGGTCATGAATGAAGCAGTTTTGCTTCTATCTTGTTAATTGGAAAAAGAAGAAGGAAAGAGAAACAGAAGAAAACATTTCTTCCTGTAGCTAGAACTGAAACCAGAGCTTCGATTGCAGTCAGACTCATCTTATCACTCACTGGATTATTCTAACCACTTTCTCAACCCAGGTTGGGGGGCGAGGGGGTGGGTCTTGATCTCAAAAGTCAATAAAACTTCCCCAAACCCTAAGTGGTCAATCACGGTGACTAAGATGCTCTGGCTCCAGCAACGCATAAAATCTCATACCTGCATCACTACTCCTTCTAGAACTTAACTTAAATTCTCCTTTAGTAACATTCAAAATGCTTTGAAATACGTTACCTTGCAAGGAGGACACAATCAACGTTCTTTATCTTCCCCAAAATTAAGGCATCAGAAGGCTGCACATAATGAAAAATGGTTACAGCTCAGTGAGTTGAAAACATACATATGAATGATTAAAAAGCTGCCATTTCAACTGTTCCACCACAACAGGATTCATGGAAACTTGGAGTCTGAAGATACACTTTAAAGAAGTAGAGTCTGGATTTGAGGATCAACTTGATCACCCCATCAGTCCTCACTGAGCCCTCTCTGAGCACAGAGAGTCACCGGACGAATGGCCACCCTGGTGCGTGGGGAGGTCCCCTTTAGTAAGAGCTCTTTGTAGCAAACACCACGGGGCACTCTGATGATACGATCGTCAACTACACACGTGTCAAGGGTATCTGGCAGGTTCAAGAACAGGTGTGAGAGTGAAACGTGGGAAGGACAGGAGGCCCTTGTCATGGAATTTAGGAACTCAGCACTGGAAGTGTGTGCCATGTTACCCGGGTCTAAGATGGCCATGCGGTGAGCTGAGGTCATGGAGGGAAAGGTCCTGAGAACCGAGGAGGTGAAGACAACGTGAGGGGAAGAAGTGAGCCGAGCCGACCGCAGGGCTTGGAGGACGTGAGGTCCATCTAAGGACTTGGCCGAAAAGGAGAGAGTTTAGTTGGGACTGCCAGACGCAGGATCCTCATGGGAGGATGAGAGGAGCTGCCATGTCTGGAAGGAGCACTATGCAATCAGGAGGAGGGAGACTCCCGCGCCCTGGCTGGGTGACATGTGGGCTGGAAAAACAAACAGCCTCCTTTTAACAGAAAGGAGGAGTTTTATTTCCAGTTCAGTTATGCAATCATGTGGTGGATCCCCGAGAAACCCCACTTTGGGCAGGGCTTCCTAAGGAAAGGCCACTTGGCAATGACATTTCCTCCCATCTGTAATCAGTCTATCTGCTAAATTAGTGTGGTGTGCCATATGGGCCCCAAATTAGAAGCTGATTTGGATGCAGAGACCTGAAAAGTACCGTTGCTGTGTCTGCATGAGCATCTGGCTTCCAGGGACAGAAGTTGAGAAGTCAGTGCACATGTTCAAAAGCCATGTTCTCTACCGTATGCCCCAGGCATCCTCAGGGCCACTGTCTCAGCTGGTGGGACCCAGTGCCGGTACTGCTTGCCCCTCTCAGCCTAGGGGAGGCAGCTCTGGGCTGCCAACACAAAAGCAATTAAAAAAATTTAAAATTGTTTTTTAATTTTTAAACTTAAAAATCAAGCCAGCAAGGAGAAAGGAAAAAGCTAGTATGTCTCCACTAATTGGAGATTAACCTTGCCAAACGGAGTATCCACATATTTTTCAGTTCTTCCTTCTAAGATTTCTGAATCATCCAGACCTGTTCCACCGATGATTCCAATCTAAGAGAGACAAGAAAAAGATACCATATTTGATGACTTTTCACTAGAAACAAAATCATTATTTTAAATAAATTCAATTATTCACACTCAACTGTTCCCTTTCTTGCTATGCCCTATTTTTTAAAAAATCTGAACATTACTGAAAAACAATCATTCATTCAACAAACATTTGAAAGCCTTCTATATTATAGTAATAACCAAAGCATGGGTCTACTGGACTCATCACATTTATTGCTGACTATCTGAATAACAAATTAACGAAGAAAGGCACTTTAACTAGCTTAAGTTAGAAAACCAAACCTAAAAGTAAATAAATGTAATTGTAGAAAGGACTATCTAATCAATTTTATTTTCTCTCCTAAATGGGCTATGGAATAAAGAATGTTGAAAAGACTGCTGGGATAGAAAATACTCAGTATAGCCATTTGGTAATAATTGCTTCTCATTACCCCATTTGATAAAGAAACAGAGATTTTTCTTTCTTATGCCACTAAAATCACAGAGCTGTAGGGGATGGCAGATAGATGAGTCTGGAATAGCAGGAAATGTTAGCCTCATGTATATTCATGAAATCCAAAAGTCTTTCATAAACATATGTAAATACAAATAAGTAATTCAAAGGGAGTTCTAAATTTTTTTAAGTTCAAGTGTTGAAGTGCATTTTCCAGAGATTAATTTAACAGTTCTTGTCTTCAGGGATTAACTGGAGTTAAAGAAACTCGGCACCACCCTCTAGAGTAATCCAATTTGATGACTAAGAAACACAAACAAGAACAATTACACAAATAACTAAACATTAACTGAACCGTTAACTAAAAATGAAATAACTGAAACTAGGAAGGTTTCCCTGGGCTGATAATTCCTAGAGGAGAAACAGTAATTAAATTGTCCTGTTTAGATTTAAACAGGCTGTAGAGAGAACACTGTACTGGAAATCTAACGGAAAGGGAACTGAGCATTTCCTTTTGTCAATGAATAGCTTTAAATCTGTTGTCACTTGAATAAAATTTCTACTAAATAGAAAAAGTAGCTCCTTGAGAGAAAATTCCAGAGTTAAGAACACGCTGAACAACTGAATGAAGTAATTTTCAGAAGAGGTTCCACAAGTTGATTTAGATTAATACATGGGAAAATGGTTACCTCTCTGGCCCTGTTTCCTGAAAAAGAAAAATCAACGGAACAGGAAAATAAGGGCACGTTAGTAAGATTTCACAGAAGAACTGCAGGTTACGGGGTTGAGAACTTCGTGTCCCCACAACTTCCTTAAGCGGCTAAAACAGTTTGTGAAGTTGGTGCCACCTTGTGGTGCATTGTTGGAACCACAGCAGGTTCCGCGTTCCAGCCAACCCATTTCTCTCCTGCCTCGTTACAACGTAACACCATAGGTAAAGACTAACCAATATCAGTTTTCAAATCAACAAAAGTGGTCACTTAAGTCAGTACATTTAAATCACGCCAATTCAGTAGATTTTTTTTTTAATCACACTGTTTTGTGCAATCCTAACCCTTCCTCTGGCTGCCTTCTCCGTTTCATCCTCCATTTCACATTCTCTGAAGCACCACAGATCACGGGGGGCCTAATGCACGGTCCAGCCCATGGCATCGCCCAGAACACAGAACCGAACTGCGGACTCTAATTATCTGGGATTCTGCTGCTCATGGAAACTTCTGGTTTTTTGTTGTGTTTACTTATTTCCACTTTGACTTGGTTGATTCTGAATGCTCCCTGGGCCGTGGCCCCCCCATTCCGGATTCAGCACTAACTCTCGGACTTGTACACACGAATCACAGCCCACACCGTCTTCTGAAACCACCCTCTCCGTTCAGGAAGCATCGCAGCCGCGGGTGAGAAACGCTGACCAGGGGTCCTGCCGAAGTTCAGGCCGTCGAGCCCACCCTCACGGCCCCAAGCTTCAGTCCACACCACGCTGGCTGCACGAGGACTGCATTAGAAGCTGGTACTCAGCCCTCAGCGAGGAACATGGAGTGCTGGCCACGAAAAGAAGAGCTGCTCCTGCTCGCCAGAAAGGCCAGGGTGGGGTCTCCGGCTCTGGAATTATCTGCAGGTGGGCACATCCGGTCACCCAACCGGCTCTGCTTGTTTATGGAAAACCGTATCTAGCAAGGGATACAGGACAAGTGTAGCGACTGAGTACTGCCTCACCAGGGACCTCTAACCATTTTCCTGCTGCAGAGGGAGGCCAGCAGTGCCAAGATGTGGCAATGCCGCCACCTGCTGGCCCATAGCAGAGTACGACTAGGACGAAACTCCCAAGCACGGATGGCCTAATTCTGTCCACCCCTGAGCCTCCAAATTCAACAGTCAACTCAGGCCCTGCCGTGGTAATAAAGGAACTGGGTCTCAGCACCCACACGTCACAGGCACTGTGCTAACCACCTCAGCGGCCTCACCTCCTCTGATCTTCTCAACCGCCCTATAAGATAGGCCCTGGAGTATTACACCCATTTTACAGAGAAGGAACGCATACAAATCAAGACACTTCTCCAAGAGCAAATCATAAGGAGCAAAGCTGGAAGAGGAACCCAGCTCTTTCACACTCACCCACGATGACGGACCAGCTCCCAACACCCCCTGGAGTCCTTTATAACGTCAGACCCTATGAGAAAAGTTTCACTGTCTCCATGTACTGAGGAAACTGATGCTCAGAGAGGTCAAGTTCTGGACCAAGGTCACAGAGCAAGCACAGAAACGATGACTCTGGGCGTCTAAGTGAACCTGGAGGGGAGAGGGGTCTCCATCGGTGACGTCAGCCACACTCAGGCAGCAATGACAAGACCTTACCAGGCCTCCTGGGCCAGCAGCATCAGCCCTCAGTCCAGGCAATCCTAGGAGGCCTAGGAAGTGTGTTCGAGGACCGAGATGGAATTTCTGGGCCAATTCTGCCCAGCCAGGACTTCTTCACTGCACACGATAAAGTTCTGAAACAGGGACCTCCGGTCAATCAAGGTCACTGGCAAATTTTAACAATTAGTGGTTCATCCCACACTTTCCATGACAGAGCACCCAGTCAATCTCCATAAAAAAAGGAGAGGGTCTGACTTCCCCTCTGAGACCTGAAAGCATTTTATCTAAATGCTGGCTTACCTGGCCGGAATGCGTACTTCCCGCAGTGCCAAAGGGCTCATACTAACCTCTTGACTAGCCCAGATTTTAGAAATTTATGATCTGAGCCCTAGAGTGGTGGTGCTCAATTGTGGCTGCACATTGGAACCACCTGAGGAGCTTGAAGAAATTAATAAGACTCTCGAGTCTGGGCCCCGGGCTTTGGTATTGACAGCGTCCTGGGGGATTCTAGAATCCAGCGGCAGAACCAGGAGGGGACCAGGAAGAATCCTACTGCTGTTCCACAAGCGAAGGAGAGCTCTACAGAATACAGTGAGCACTGAGGAAAACCCTCCTCAAAATAGTTAGACATTTCAGGAGGCGAACTGTATCTTCCAGAGAGTGTCTACCTGTTAGAATAATATCTTGCTTTTGCAAGAGGAGATTGGTTAAATAAAAAACACCAATGTTCTGAGCCCTCAGTTATCTCTGACCAAAACACAGTCATGTGTCACTTAATGATGGGGATGAATTGTGAGAAATGCGTCGTTAGGTGTTTTGTTGTGTGAACGTCATAGTGTGCACGTACACAAACCTAGACGGCACAACCTACTACACACCTAGGCCGTATGGTGCTAACCTTAGGGGACCACCATGGTATATGTGGTCTGTGGTTGACTGAAACGTTGTTACGTGGCGCACGACTGCATAGCATTACTGTATTAGTTTGCTGGGCTGCCATAAAGGACCACAGCTTGGGTAGCTTAAGCAGCAGAAATTTATCCTCCTAGTTCTGGAGGCTGGAAATCTAAGATCAAGGTGTCAGTAGGGTTGGTTTCCCCTGAGGCCTCTCTCCTTGCCTTCCAGGTGGCTGTCTTCTTCCCGCGTCTTCACATGGTCTTCGCTCTTTGTGTGTCTGTGTCCTAATCTCCCTTTATAAGGACACTAGTCATTTTCGATTAGGGACCCCCTCATGACCTCATTTAACTTTAATTACCTCCTCAAAAACCCTATCTCCAGATATGGTCTCACTCTGAGGTATTGGGGGTTAGGACTTCAACATATGGATTTGGGGGAAGCAATTCAGCCCGTAAGCATCACCTACCTGGGTGGCTTACAGAGGGGGAGTCATGTCAGAGATGGAGCCCCAGTTATCTTCGTGGACCACATTGCAGGTTTTGAACAGACCTCTCAAACTGGATATTGGGCCACTCTGTCCCCATACAGCTGGGCTTCCGGGATTTTGCAAGGCCCTGGGAGGCCTCCAAACCAGGTCGGTCCAAGAAGAAGGCCTTTTGTCTGTGTGCTTGCCAGACTTGTCAGTGGCAACCAGAGCCGAAGGACTGAGATGCTGAGATCAGGGAGTGCTGCCAGCTCGAGCTCTGGCTCCCTTGCCTCCTCGTGAGCTCGAGGCGCCCAGAGGCAGCCATCTCCCTGGCAAGAGCTAGTCTCCACGGCTCAGGGGTGTGGGGTTTTGTGAATGCCGTCACTGAGTGCTGGGCTCCTTAAGGTAGTGTGTCCATGCCCCAAAGTGTTGGTGAGTGGTTCCTGAAACCAGGTGAGGTATGTGAGATCCCCTGGGTCCAGGTACCAGTGGCGACAGATGGAGGGTATGGGTTGAATAGGCTGAATAACTGCCGCTGAAAGAGATCTTATCTGCATCCTAATCCCAGAGCCTATGAATGTTACCTATGTGATTAAGGATCTACAGATGGGGAGATTATCCAGGATTATCTGTACGGGCCCTAAATGTAATCTCCAGAGTCCTTATAAGAAGGTCAAATGAGGGGGCCAGCCCGGTGGCACAGCAGTTACGTGCGCACGTTCCGCTTAGGCGGCCGGGGTTCGCCAGTTCAGACCCAGGTGCGGACATGGCTCTGCTCAGCAAGCCAGGCTGTGGCAGGCGTCCCACATATTTATATAGTAGAGGAAGAGGAACACAGATGTTAGCTCAGGGCTGGTCTTCCTCAAAAAAAAAAAAAAAAAAAATTTTTTAAATTAAAAAAAAAGGTCAAATGAGGAAGAAGGTGATGCGATGTTGGAAGCAGAGGGATGTAAGGCGATGTGATGCGCACTGTGAACCAAGGGATGCGGGTGACCTCTAGAAGCTGGAAAAGGCAGGGAAATGAATGCCCCGTTAGGCCTTCCAAGAGGACCTGCCCTGCTGACACCCAAGTGTAGCCCCGTAGGACTCATCCTGGAAGCCCGCCCTCCAGAACTGCAAGAGAGACATTGCGCTGTTTCAAGCCATCCAGTCCGTGGTAACTGTTACAGCAGCCACAGGCAACTAGGATACTAGGGCTCCCCTGAGGAGCTGGGGGAAAATGCAGACGCCCAGCCTTTTCAAAGCTCCCTGGTCAGCGGGGGTCACGCTCCCATGGGCATCTGACTCCACTGAGGCTCTTTTTAAAACCCAGACCCTGGGCCCCGCCCCCCAGAATTTCTGATTCAGCAGGACTGGGGTGGGGCCCGAGAATCTGCATTCTAACAAATTCCCAGGTGGGCTTGGAGAACCACCGCTGTACATGCTTCTGAGGCACAGACTAGGATGCCACGATCATAATCCCAGTGAAGGACCTGGAGTCCATTGCGCACAAAAGTTTCTATCACCTGTTTCCTCATCTGCACCTAGAAGGGGAAGATTTTTCCTTAATTCAGAGAATTGTGAACATCAAATGACATAATGCATTATTACCTGTCACTGTTTCTGTACACACTCCCACCTCCAGCAAAACGTAACCAAATCAAAATGCACTTCCTCAAAGCAACAATAAAAGGCCCTTTTTCTCCTCATTTTTCTCTGCTGGTCAGGACACAAACCTGGCTGCTCCGACGTCTCCTCACCGGGCCATGTCTGTCTTGGGGATTTAGTCCACGGCCCTCACCCGAGTGTGAATCGGCTCTCCTGGGGTTTCCTGGAAACCCAGGGGACATTTCTGCCCCAACATGATGACTGGGGGTAGTGCTACTGGCATTTCGTGCAGAGGGGCCGAGATGCGCCATCCGTCCTGCAATGCTCAGGACATGGTGTCCCTAGGCAAAAAATAAAGGCTCACTGGTCATCTGGTTTCCAGTTGTGGCCTGTGGGTTGTCCCCCAGGTTCGGAGGGTCACTCAAGGCCTTTCATTCTGAAGGCCTTTGCTGGCCACAGACAGCCAGCCAAAAAAAGAGCTTACAACGCCTGTTCTCCACAGTCTAGACTCCACGACTTGCTCCTCCTCCTTAATAATATTTGTTGAGAACCCCCGATCCACCGATGAGGGGACCATATGCCCTCCTTGCCACAGCAACCAGGATTACATCGAATTTGTTTTTAATCCTCCAGAGCAAAAGCTGGGCAGCTGCCTGGCGGGGACATAGCCCATTGAAGGAACCCTCAGAATGCCCTGTCTAGACGCCAAAGACAGGTTCAGCCCTCCACAAAGTGAAGCACACCACCCGCCCATGGCTGATAAGGATGACACCTCCCTGAGGTCCACCCAGAAAACGGCTGTTCTCACCACCACGGGAGAGCGCCCCATGGGCACAGGGAGGCAGCCTGCTTTACGCCCTCACTCCACACTCCCTCTGCCTTAAGGCTGCAGGATCTCCTTACTCCACAACGAAACAGAGAATAGAGACCACAAGTCTCATTTCAGAAATGCCTCAGAACATCCAGCTGGTGGAACGCCAGGTTCTAGGCCCAATTCTGTCACTATCTAGGGCCAACTGTGTAAGTCTGGACACCTCAGTTGACCTTTCTGCGCCTCAGCTTTATGTCCACAAAAAGGGGTTTGTGTGGCTATATGGTCTTAAGGAACGTTCCAGTTCTACATTCCACAATCTGCGGATAGGATATGGCTTCTATAAGCCTGCTTTGCTCTGGACACTGGCTCCTCGTGTTTTCTACATGGGATGTTGGCTCAGCAGTCGGGGGACTGCAGTTGGCATCATGGATTCTCAACAGCAAAGTGGTCACCTTCCCATCCTCAGAGACAGAAAGTAGCGGGCAGGCCTGGTACTATGTGGACCTCAACTTTATAGTGAGCTGCTCGCCAGGACCAAATATCTGCCTCCTTCAATAATCACCTCGGGGCTCGACCACAGCGTCCACTCTGCACTTAGTGCACCAACCCAATATCACAGGGCCCCTGGGTGCAGGGAGAATGAGGAACTAGATTAAAACGACACTTATAAATAGCATCCCTCTCTGTTTTCAATCTCACTTGAAGTACATTCCTGTAAGGGTAGGTCAGAGTTTCCTGCTTGCCCACTGAAGGCTGGGGGCTCATGAGACCTATCATGACCATTCAATTGTTGGAGAAAAGATATTCAAAATTACTCTCAGCTCCCCCACTTAGAAGCACTACCATTTAATAAGTTTCAACCACGTGCTGGGCAGACAACACAAGTCTAAACGTCCCAGGAAACCCTGCGGTAAAACCCCCACTTACAGATGGGCACCTACGGACCTCGCTCACTTTGCACAGGAGCTTCATAAAAACGCTTTCTGCCTTGTTCTCAGTGACTGGTGAGGGAGGGGCGTTCTACCAATATCTGTTGAATGCAAGATCCTTTTCAAAATGGAGTTTCATACATGTGTGTGACTGCGACGCTGCCCTCCCCTTTTCCCCATCATAAGTGTCTCATTAAGAGCTGCAAGGACCTAATAAACGAATCCCTCTGGCTGATTACACGCTGACCCCAGCGATTTGCCTCCTCCCAGGAGAACTGAGCACAAAGCGGGGAATCACAAGAGATTCCCGAGAAGGCGGTGGACCTTCCTATCCCATCCGCCAAGAATTTCTCAAGTCAAACAAGTTAAGTGGGTTCTTAACCAATCACAAACAGCCTAGAAGAGATCTGAAGATTGATCACCAATTCTTCCCTAGGCTCTGTAACTCTTCACTCCCTCCCAGGCAGCAACCAGGAGAGACGTGTTTAAAAGCCCCAGGGAAGCTCGCGGCTCCCTTCGGGACTCACGCCCTCCTCTGGTCCAAGCTCCTACCGCAAGGTGATCCCTTGTACGCAGACCTCTGAGGTCCGAGGGCACAAGAAAACTGACCTCTAACTTCCCAGGTTGCAAGCAAAGCAGTTTAAAGCCAGAGTCCTCCAAACACGGAGCGGCCCTGGACTGTCCTCCACTTCGGTGCTGTAAGCAAATCTCAGAATCCCTAAAGCATTGCGCTGCAGGGGAAAACCTCAGAACAGAGAAGGGCTACTTTCTGGAAGTATATTTTCTGGAACAGGAAGGAAAAAAAAAAGCCAGAAGCTTGCAAAACAGCAAGCACGCATTTCTCCCACGTGAGCTGCCGGGCAGGGAGCCTAGTCCGAGCGGAAGCGTAAATCTGGCAGCGCTCAGGAAGAGGGTCTCACCAACTGCAGATTCTCCCTCACCTGGCACGCGCGCTAGCCCCGGCCAGGCGCATCTCCCCGGAAAGGAATGGCGCCTGGGAAGGGTTGGGGGCCGGGCGCAGCCCCCGCACTGTCCCTCTCCAAAGGGCTAGCCCACGCCCTGCCTGGTGCAGATGCAGCTGTGCGACTCTGCAAGCGTTCCCTGTCCCTTCGCTCCCTGCCCCTGGGCGACCAGGCCCGGGATGCCGTGCACCAGACCCTCCCCGCCGCGGCGGGGGCGAACAGGCAGGGCGCATGGCCCAGAGGCGCGGTCCCCCGGGGTAGGAACGAGAGAGCACAGGGCAGGGTGGACCCGCCGCCACTGGCACCGCTAATCTCACCTTCACGGCCGTGGTGGTGGCCACTGAGGCCATGTCTGCGCGAGGAGGGTGCGGTGGCCTCGTCAGGCGCGGAGAGCAGGCTGCGGTGGCGGCTGCGCGAGCCGGAGAAGTGCAGCGGTGTCAAGGGCGCACTCCTGGACCGAGCAGAGCCGAGCCCCGGGAGGGCCTTGGCTCCTCCTCTTCCTCCCGGGGACAGCTGGATTGGCTGCTAGTGTGGCATCGCCCCCGCCACCCCCCTCCTAAATTCGAGGTTCTCACGTCCCGCCCCTTGTGCAGAGCTTTCTGGCTCTGCCTTGTCTTTTTCGCACCCCCGCTTATAACTAACGGGTTCATGATAATAATAATAACGGAGACGGTTTATTAAGCACTTGTGTTGTCCCAGACTCTGTCCTTTGCACTTTAATCAGCTGTTTAACTTTTACAAGAACCATAGAGCGTCTTGTCTGTAAAATTAGGCGTGTCTACGTTGCAAAAGTTCTCATTGGTGGGAGATTCGTCCAGAGTAAGGAACTGGCTGTTCCCAAAGGTTTCCTCCTAGCTGTCAACCCGGGGCGGGGCGCGGTTTGCTCTTCCTACCCAGGTGACCCGACCCGACCAGGGGTTTGCTCCTTTGCCTCAATTCCTGGAGGACAGAGCAGGAATGGGGTTGACCCGAGACTCAGGGATGACAAAAAGGAAATACACGGGGTTACATATGTCGGATAAACTTTCTGATTTACGAACTATGGCTTATTGATCTTCAACTTGAGGGGAGAGTTTTAAAGGGGATGAGACGCTGCCTCACTCCCACCCGGGCTATCTTTAACCCCACCCACCTCGGACAAGGGCCCATACGCCTAGGTTCAGAATCCAGACTCACGTCTTCATCATTCAACACTGGGTGGTCACCACCATCTCGGCCCAGCCCCCTGCCCCCCAAACACACACACACACACACACACACGCAGACACACACGCAGACACACACCCCAACACCACCACCAGCCCTCCACTGGGATAATCCCTTACTCTCAAAATGCCCATCCTTTCCCTACTGGGATAATCCAATTTACCCTCCTTTGATGGATTAAGCTCTCCTGAACAGAATGGGTGAGAGTGATGTTCTGAGATGCAGAAATGTTGCAGATTACTCTGGGGGTGGGAGCATGGCTGTGGAAGTGAAATGAGAAGGAAAAAGTTAAAAAATCTTCCCCAGAGCACAAACTTTGAGATGAGCTTTGCTAGCGGCGTCTGGGCATATTCAACGTAATCAACTGTTGTTTAAAACTAACCACGTTTTCTGTCCCTCCTTACTATGTGAGTGAGCTGTCTTTCCCAGGAAGTCAAGGTCCAAACATCAAGATCCGGCCTCACTAGGCCAAATGCAGGCTGAAGACGAAAACTAAAGAGAAAAGTCCAGACAGTCAAGGGAAAAGAAATTCAGTCTTCAAGGCTACACGCAGGCTGGTGGGAAGGCGCCAACCAGCAAGGCAGCATGCTTCCTCTCCCTACCTAAATCCCCAGCACATGCTGTCCCTCCCCTACCTAAACCCCAAATAAAATCCCTACTCTTTTCCTGAGTTCTAACTCCCATCTTCTCATCTGGCTGCCTTTCAATAACAAACCTCATTCCTTGCCGCCAGCCTAGACTTATGTACAATCTGAGTTCTCCAACACTCAAGTCTTCTTCAGTAGGGTCCTCAGAAATGAAAGGATAGATACAATTTGAAGTGAACACTGAATAAGAGACAAGATGACTTGAAATGAAAGCTATTCCTAGCTATTTCTAGGGTCAAATGGACTTAGACTGGAAGGAAAGAGGGATAAAACTAAAGGAGTAGGACGTGATGGCCTTGCAATAAAACAAACAGTCGGGGAATCTCCGACTATCCGGAGCCACATTCAAAATACATGGTCACAACCAACCCTGCTGTTCTCACTTCAAAGCAAGTGGTTCTGTCCTCAACCAGAATTACAGATGCCAAGTTATATTTTATTCTCGGACACTCCACTCTTATTAAAGGTCCTTATAAGGAATCGCCACCTAAATTTGACTGTAAATATTTTTTGAAGAAGTTAGCTTCTAATTCGCTTTAAAAAGTACCCTGCAATAAATATATAGTGAAAATTAGATTTAAATAATCTTTTCTTTGCTTGTGACACGTTACAGTGCTACTTTACTCCAATGATGGGAGATTGAAGCATTTCTCTTTTTTTTCCTTGTTTTCTTAAAATTTTATTGTAAATAGTAATCACTTCCTGACCTATAAGACAAGCATAACAAATTTAGAAAGGTGCAATTAATTAGGCTTTCTGTGACAAATAAATCCAAGTGGAGATAGGGAATCAAAAGGAATGGGCATTTTGTATTGAGACAAATTATAGGAAGCTTCCGCCATCTTGCACTGCCGGGGAAGAAAATGAAATCATCAATTTCCTACACACTCACCAATAATAAGTATTACATTTATAAATATAAAATCCATTTTGTGGTTAATGTGCATTTGTCTGACTATTCCTATATTTGAGCTTATTCTTATATGTGTATTGGCCATTCACATGTTAGTGTTTTGACTTGATCTACATTCTAAATTGAAAACACATTAAATAGATGGATACATATATAAATACTTTCCTTCTAAAATCCAATTTTAAATCCTAATTCTACAAAAGTAGTCAACTATACTTTATAATTTGAACTGGAAAGAAAAACTCACATTGATTTCTCCACCAAGACCAGAAGCTCTGGCCAGATTGAAGAGCATGAGGAACAGTCTGGAGGTGAGGAAAAGAGACAAGAGACACCTCCTTCATGAAGTTTGGATGAAAAAGGAGGAGACCTTTGGACATGATAAGAAGAGGATAGGAAATCAATAGTTGTTTTCTTCCCTTCCTTTTAATGATGGGAGAGTTTTGAATTTGTTTGTCAGCAGAGGGGAAGAAGTTCACACCGAAGAAAAAATGGAAGATACTAATAGAGAGGGATGGCTAAGGGGGCAGGATCCCAGAGAATCTTAGGGGGATGGGATTGGACGTACTCACAGGAGCATTGTCCTGTATCAGAGGATGAAGACGTGGGTCTGCAAGAAAGGAAGTAAGAATGGGGCTCCAGATAAATTTAAGAGCAGGTGTTGTGAATCTATAGGAGACCACACTTGATGGCCTAATTTTCCCAACAAAGTAGGAGATGGGGGTTGCATATGGGTTTGGCATGATTGTGATATTGTGTCAGATTAGCATCATGAATTTGAAATGGTACCAATCTGCAAGGGTATACAGTTCTCCATGATAGGCCCCTACTGACTAATAGATAGGACATCAAGGAATGGAGGGTGTCAGGGAGGTGAGTTCATAGTATCAACCACGGGAGAGAAGATCCAAGATGGCAGCGTGAGCAGACTTCTTTGTCTCTCCCCCTTCGAATCTACAACTAATTGGACATTCATTGCTTGACAAAGGATATCTATATAGCATCTCAGGACATCGGAGAGACCCACACTGCTATACATCGGAAGGCCCACGGACTTCCCTCGGGGAGGAGGTGGAGATAGGTGAAACTCTCCGACCCTGACCCCTGAACAGCCTAGAGCCTGTGGGCGGCTTTCTTCCAGTGGACGCCCCCAGAACATTGCCGCACACCAAGGACAGGAGGGAGTGCACACCAAAGGAGCTATGGTGGAAACAGGTGAACAGAGCCCTACTTAAGCCCCCCACAATTACACCTGAGCCCAGAGGGAAGCTCCAGAGTTACACACCGAAGGCGGTGGGGAAAACCCCTACCCGCCGTTAGCAGAGAGATCCCGCCCAGCATCCACAATGCCTGGGGGCTCCCGGAGAGAATCCCAAACGGTATGCCGGCCCGCCAGCTGCCACCGCCAGCTGCCACCGCCAGCACCTCTGACTGGGCTTTCACCCGGGAGGGGCTCGGGACTACCGGAGATCTCCTGGGAGAGGTCTGGGGCTGGGTGGAGCTCCAGCGGCTGACTACGCGGCCTGGGAGAGAAACTCTGAAGTCCCGTCCAGGCAGCAGGTAGGGTCTTTGCCTGCCATTATCGGAGAGGCCCTGCCCAACCTCCACAATGCCTGGGGGCTCTCCCAAACGGTGCGCCGGCCCACCAGCTGCCACCGCCAGCTCCACTGACCGGGCTTTTGCCCGGGAGGGGCTCGGACTACCAGAGATCTCCTGGGAGAGGATTGGGGCTGGGTGGAGCTCCAGTGGCTGGCTACGCCGGCCCGGGCGAGAAACTCTAGAGTTCTGTCCCGGCAGCAGGCAGAGTCTTTACCAGCCATTATCAGAGAGGCCCCGCCCAGCATCCACAACGCCAGGAGGGTCCCAAAGAGGAGAATCCCAGGCAGGGCAGCAGCCGACCAGCTGCCACTGAACTCAAGGTATCCGGCTATCCCCCAGACAGGGCAGTGGGCTCCCTGAGATCCTAGGGGAGAGGACTGGGGCTGGGTGGAGTTGTAGCGACCCGGCTCTGTGGCCCAGGGGGATACTCTACAGTCTCACAGAAGCCTCAGTGATAGCCTCTGCACAGCACTAGTAGAGAGCACCCATCCAGCAACCACAAGGCTGGAAGACCCTGGGACAAAAGTAGCATAGCTAGGCGAGCTAACAACAGACTGCAGAAGATGCCCATAGCTCTGCTGTGACCAATAGTGGACAAGCGAGATTTTGTAGGCGCCGACAGTGACAGAGCTGCAAATATAAGTGATCCTGCCCCTGGCCACTGGGAAAGCCCATAACACCGCTGCAGAACCTAAGGAGGGAGCGCGTCTAGGTGGTCTGCAACAGTAGGCACCAGCAATCTGAAGCCCCCCTGTGACGGCCCCCACAGCTGAAGAGGGAACCCATAGGACCACTGTGACTGCGAGGAGGGGCCCAGGCCCAGTTAGCAACAGCTGATAGGGTTCCAGCAGTATAAATAGCTGTCCCCCCACCACACCAGTAGAAACAAGTAGAAGCAAACTAAACTCTATCTCTATGCAGAGGCACAAATCTACACCATCAAGCAATATGAAAAAATATATTAAATCTCCAGAACAGAAGGAAAATGACAAACACACAGCAAACAATCCCAAAGACAATGAAATATACAACCTAAATGATGATGACTTTAAAACAGCCATCATTAAAAAACTCAATGAGTTAAAAGAGAATTCAGATAGACAACTCAACGAGTT